TTATTATTATTATTATTATCTTGGAGAATAAGTTAGGAATTAAATATTAGAGATCTTGTCTTGTTGGACAAGTTAAGAATAATGTTTAGGAGTCTTATTTAAAGGGCTCCACCATCTATTGTTTTATTCAGTTGAATATGAAATAAGAATTGATCGAGTTTTGTGAGTTTTACGTGTTTTACGAGAGAGTATCTCGTTTACTCGTTTTATCCTTCCCATTCGTACGCTTTCCCTACATCAAATTTGTATGGATTTTGTTATAGCAAACAGTGTGGATTTTAATTTGGATTTTGCTACTATTATGCCATGAGAATATTTCAATTAATTTTTTAATGCTATATTTTATAATGTCGTGTGTTTATCGTTTTTTAAATACCGTTTTAATATATTTCGATCGTTATCGATGTATTTTCGATCGGATAGTTTCGTTTTCAATATTACCGGAATACCGATGTCGTTTTCGTTTCCGACATTACCGTATCATTTTCGTTTTCGAGAAAAAAATATGAAAGTGGAAATGGTTGACCCCTATGCCGATCGTTTCCGATCGTTTTCATCCCTAACGGGAGGCCACTTTGGAGCAGTTCGTACTGCAGCAAAGGTATTACAGAGTGGTTTCTATTGGCCGACCTTATATAAAGAGTGCTATATTTTTGTGAACCAGTGTGATCGATGCCAGAGGATGGGAAATATTTCTAGACGCCATGAGATGCCTATGACGAATGTGATCGAGGTCGAGTTGTTCGATGTTTGGGGGATTGACTTCATGGGTCCGTTCCCTTTCTCATGTGGAAATCGGTATATATTACTTGCAGTTGAGTATGTTTCTCGTTGGGTGGAGGCAATTCCTTCGAGCACCAATGATGCCGCTGTTGTTCTCAAGTTTCTGAAGAAAAATATTTTCACACGGTTTGGGACCCCGAGAGCCTTGATCAGTGATGGGGGTTCTCACTTTGTGAATAAATTAATGGAGAAGCTTCTTTCGAAATATGGCGTCAAGCATAAAGTGGCCTTATCCTATCACCCGCAAGCGAATGGGCAAGCAGAGGTGGCGAACCGAGAAATCAAGCATATCTTGGAGAAGACGGTGAGCACAAATCGGAAGGATTGGTCGTTGAAGCTCGATGACGCACTTTGGGCCTATCGCACGGCCTATAAGACACCACTGGGATCATCTCCATACCGGATTGTTTTTGGTAAGTCATGTCATCTTCCGGTTGAGTTAGAGCATCGAGCTATGTGGGCTGTGAAGAAGATAAACTTTGATTTTCACGAGGCGGGTAAGAAAAGACTTCTCGATTTGAATGAGTTGGAGGAGTGGCGAGATGATTGTTATGAGAATTCGAGGATTTACAAGGAGCGAACGAAAAGGTGGCATGACCGGATGATCCACAAGAGAGAATTTTTTCCGGGAGAACAAGTCCTTTTGTTTAATTCACGATTGAAGTTATTCCCGGGAAAATTGAAATCGAGATGGTCGGGGCCTTTTGTGATTAAGAAGGTGTTACCACCGGGAACAGTTGAATTGGTTGCACGAGACGGAGAGACCTTCATAGTCAACGGACAACGGATCAAGCACTACTTTCATTCGTACCAAAACGAGAAGTTGTCCTACATCACTTTGAAGGAGCCGTGATTCTTACAGGCGTCTGGCTGAAGACGTTAAACTTAGCGCTAGTTGGGAGGCAACCCAACAGTTTTATTGCTTTCTTGTTTTTATTTATTGTAGGATAGTTTTTGTTTTCCTTGTTAGTTTTATTTTTGTTCTTATTAAAAAAAAAATAATAAAAAATAAAAAATCCCAGGCATGTGACACGGGTCGTGACACGGCCATTTTGGCCGTGTCGTCGACCGTGTCACCCTAACAGAAAGCTCAAATTTCAGTAACTGCGACACGGGCATTGACACGGCCATTTTGGTCGTGTCACGGCCCGTGTCAAGTAAAAAAAGAGAGGACCCCCAGGTACATGACACGGGTGGCGACACGGGCGCTGTGACCGTGTCACGGCCCGTGTCGCGTCAACAGAGACTTTAAAACACAAATTCTCTTCACTTTGCCTTAGGAAATTTTCGAACCCTTTCTCCTAAAAACCCTAATACCGAAATCCTTTCCTTGATTATGCAATTCTAAGGCATCTTCCTACTTGATTGTGCATCATAATCGTTTACTTGCATTCACACATCCGTAATTGTGCAATTGTTGCTCTCTTTTTCGAACTCAAGGTAAGATT